CATCTATCTATCTATCTATCTATCAATCTATCTATCAATCTATCTATCTATCTATCTATCTATCATCTATCATCTATCTATCATCTATCTATCATCTATCTATCTATCTATCTATCTATCTATCTATCTATCTATCTATCTATCTTTAATTTAACTTTTGATTTCTAGACCACTCACCCCCCAAGGGCTCTGAGCGGTTACATAGTACAATTTACACTTCTAACTAGGGCCACACACAGTACTGCGGAGGGGAATGCCTACCAGGCACCCTACCAGCTTTCTTTATTAACAGGATTTTTTTTATAAAAATTAATTTATCTCATCACAGTGTAATATAAAAGCTATAACAAAAAGAAACCAAATAAACCCAGTAGAGAAGGAAAAAAAATTAAACACAGGACCTAACGGGGCTTTATCCAACAAACCGGCGTCTGCGATTGGATCCATTTCGAATGACTTCTTCATTGTGAAACTTGTAGAGAAATTATTTATAAAACAATCGACTAATTGGGTCTCAGTACATTGAAATGATTTGTAAATTCTAAAAAGTTCCAAAATGCAGTTTAGACACAAAAGTAATGCAAAACCAGAACAGTTATTGGAGCTACAATTATATACAAATTTCTGCAATAAAATATTAATTTCTCATCTTTGTAAACAATGGAACAAATCTCTCAGAATTACTAGTGTTAGATTGTTTCAAACCCAGGAAGTTTTACTAAGGATCGAATGAATCTGAGTTCATATTCTAAGGCCCAGTGGAAGATCCTAGAGATTTTTGTTTTATATCACTGTTGCCCTTGCATTGATTTTCCTCTATAAAATGTGCACAGGTTAATATTTCAGCTCTTCCCTGCCCTCAACATTTTTATCAATGCACACGTGTGCATCTAATATAGAGGGCAGGGAAAATGTTACCAAGCTGAACACTTTGGTAAATTGCACATGCTCCAGTCCCGAAATTAATTTGAGAAATGTTTCTAGTTTTCCACCTAAAATCAGAATGAAAGATGCAGAGAGTGCCTTACAATGGAAGTACAACAAAAGGGACAGATTTTCCACAGCAACCAAATTATCATTATGGGGACAAAACATCCACACATTCAGTCCAACTGGATGGTTTGCTCTGTGCATACACACCAATGACTGGGTGTTGATAGAGCTCCCCCTCCATCGAAATGAATGGAGCACCCATTTTATACAGTGGCTGTTTAGATGAACAAGTGTTAGATTTCCAGCGCTGCTTGACGGAACATTAACTTGAAGAAGAGCTTTTAGAAATGACATATCGTATTCCCTCTCTGCGCAGAGAAACATTTTCTGACATTTTAAAATGCAACAATATTTCCTTTTTCTCCCCCATTTGAAGTATCTTTTAATTATAACCCCTAGGGTTACGCTTGTTCCTCCTCAGATCCCCAAGTAATAATTTCGCTTTATAAATTCTCTCGTTTGATAACTTTTGTCATTTAATAATCTGTTTGATGTCAAGATGGACACTTATGGGTCACGGGGAATAAAAGATGATAATCCACTAGCAGCGTAAGATTTACAGTCCCGTGCCTTTTCATCGATCCCATAAAACAACCCAAGCATGTACAAATGATGATCTCGTAAGAGTCGCCCCGGCAGGAATGTGTGAACAGAACGAAGAATCCATCAGACTTATTGATACCTACAAAGCGAAGGATCCTCGAAGTTGTGAATATGGAAGAGAATTTTATATTAGGGAATGAAATATTTATTAACTTTCTCCATCTGTTCTTTTAAAAAAAATTAGTTTCATGTCATCAAGTCATTTATGGAATACATTTAGTTTAATCATGCATTCACGCCTTGGGGAAAAGACGTCCCGTGGAGACTTGGGGAATCTGTTCTGGAACTCGCTAGCAGTGGCTGACAACAAAAGGGCGGGTTTTACCCCCCTCCCCGGTTTGGCACGTCAGCTTGCCACGGACACAGACGTTCAGAAGGTGCTGGCTTAGATCCTACCACTGCGCTCAGCTCAGAGGGGAGCCTTCCTCTGAAGGAAGAAACTCTCCTTTGGAAGAAGAGCCTTGAAGCCATTGCACTTAGCTGAGTAGTG